CCCTGAAAATGTGTTTTGCTCCTCAGTCTTTACCTTCTCCAGGAACAAACCTTGGTGTCCCAGAACCCTTTCTTTCACTTTAAACCTCCATCCCCTTTCTYACCAATTCCTCACATGTATGTTTGCTCTTCTGGTTAACCCCCTGCTTTACATTTTTRTTCACTCTCTTGGTTTCAGAAAATCAGCTTTTTGTCATCACCATGTTAACAAAAAACAACAAACAACTTYAGAGCTGGGGCTCACATAGCAGCCACCCTTCAGAGATGAGTTCTGCCCCATCCCACAACAGCATAATGCTTCCACAAATGTGGGACTGTCTGGCCCCACAAAATCTGGCAGATCAACACAAGGTTGGGTTGCTCACCATACAGATGTCCTTCCCAAGGCAGAATGGGCAGGGAATCCTTCCCTCTTGTGTCTTAAGGAAATTGCCCTGTGTATTCAAGATCTGCTCTTAATCAATGCTCAGAAAAATAGTGGAAAGGCCTGGGATAGCCAGTCTTCCTCTTGTTTCCAGTTCAGTGAGGCTGAAGCAAAACTTGGGTTTTGCTTTTGGYTCCCATTTGGCTGGTTTTCAGTGTCCCATTCACAATGACATGGAGCAGGGAAGAAGAGGGCATCAGCCCAACTTTCAGTGGACTTTACAGAACCTCTCAGCTGCAGGGATCAAAGCAGCATGCACCAATTTGGAGGTTGAGCTCTCCTCTTGATCTTCATGGAAGCAGCTTCAGGACATGGATGTGATGCTTGGATTGACGGGGAGAACRGAAGAACCTGCAGGAGACTGTGCCTGCTATGGAGGTGACATGGGTGGCAGAGCTGCCTGGGTATTTTTTTTGCCCAGCATCCAATTTAAGAGAGAGAGAATGAAGAATGCTGCAAAAGCATGGGATTCACAGAAGCATTATCAGGCTGACAGCTCCTTCTGTCTCCTTTTCCCATGGAGTGAGTGGTTGTAGAATGGGAGTAGCACACATTTGCATTGTCATATCTGCTCTCAGCTGCAGCAGMCAGTGTCTCCTCACTCTGGTCAGTGAACACCCTAACTCTGGTTCTCCAACACCCCTCCAAAGCCCTTTTTCCATGGGCAGACCCCTTGTCTGCTTGCAGTGGCACATGGCCTGAGYTGTGTTGTTGGGCCACTGTGCAAATCTCAGTGAGGCCATTAAAAGAAGTCCTGACCCATTTCTACTAAACTTGACTCAATTTTTATTTGGCTAGGGAGGCAGCAAAGGATAGCTTCCACATCCAAGAGGATCTAAGCTAGGCTGTTCCTGGGTAGCTCACTTCCCAAGTGGAGTGATAAAATAGTAAACCAAAACATTCCTGTAGTGTTTTGCCATGTGGTCTAGAAAACATTTAATTCTCCCCACGGTGCAGTTTTCACACTACATTCCAACACAGAAGAAAAATATTTCAGCATTATCCTGGGCCTCTCTGCAAYGTGACTATCAACATCTTCAGTACAKCTGGGGAAAAAGTCAACTTCCAGCTCTTCCTGGAAACCTGCAGTGGTGTCTTCCAGCCTGCCCATGCAAATGGTGATAAAGGGGTAAAAACACAGGGTCAGTGGGTACAGGATGGTGTGCACAGGCTGCTGTCTCAAGCAGCAGCTGCATCCTGTGGGCTGAGARTGATTAGCTGCTGACTTTAATTTGGCATTGGAGAGAGCCCCAGTGACCTGCTCGTGACWCGTGGTGTTGTAGCCAAATCATTTCCCCTCTGTCTATTACCCAACTGAAAGAGCTGTCRAAGAATTCAGTTCTTTTGGGCTTTAAGAATCAAAATGGATTAGTAAGTATTAGATGCTTAAAAATCCTCTTTGATTTCAGTATTTGGGGTCTAGTCTTTGGTCCAGCAGCCTCTTACAGTCAGGCTGAGACAAGAAGCACAGAGCATTATTTCTGGGTATGTTCATTCAATCGAAGTATAGACCCAGTAATTCTGATCACTGTCACCTAAACAACAAATACTTCCACTCCTGACATGTTTTGGAATCAAAAAAAGCCTTCTCAGTTAAACAGAGAAACCTCCAGCCCAGCTGGTAAGAAACTGTGGAGATGCAGGAGGCATGGTTATGTTGAATTTCCTCTTCTGTACTTCTTGCTTTGGACTGGTCATTAAAAATACTTCCTCATTTTTGTCTGTATTCAGACAGCAGATGGATTGTGTAACATAATCAGTCCCACAAAGATTGTGCCATAAATGAGGAGGATAAGAAACACCAAGCCTTTGTGGTCTGTRGTTATGGGGCAATAAACTGCCTTCAGATCCATCAGCAGAGCTAATCCTCCATGACATTTACTTCAGAGTGACAAAAGAGAGACTTTTCCCTGCCCTGGTCATCCAGCAGCMCACCCACTTGCTGAGGGTTCATTCAGTGCCTGGTAAAACTCCTGGTGAACTTCAGTGGATCTCTGAGTGCTTGCCTTGACTGCTCTCAAGTCTGTTAGTGCTGCTGTGTTTCACATTTCTGCATCCCAGGCAGCTCTCTCTCTGTGCTTACCAGAGGACTTCAACACCCTTCACAACACACTTCAACATTTGGAGTCTTCTAGAGGAACAATAGATGCAGGAGTTAGGGATGGAATGAGCAATTCAAGACATTGAATATTTTATTTATCCCTGAACAATCAAAGAAAACATCTTTCTCATGTCAAGCTCCCAAACATCAGAGACTGTGAATTTAGTCTCAATTATATGTAAAATAATCAAAAATAGGGCTTTATAATGGCTTTGTAAACAGGAGCTTTTTGATTCCTAACCCCACAGCTGTTCTTAGTGTGATGTGTGACCCCTCTGCCTATTAATCCCTGGAAGATGCATGGCTTTGCAGTGAGGTGACTGATTTGTGTGAATCAAACCATCACTGATTTCCTCCATCCTTTGTCTTCACSTTTAGGCTGCAAATGGCCATGTTAAATAGGTGAATTAAGTGTGGACATTAGGTATGAGAAGCCACTTGAGACAAAGTATGAAACAAAAGACTCAGTGTTCTCAGATGATGAAGACAATGACAGTGCATCCATGAACAAAAGGCCCAAAAAGAAGGATCAACCCCTTGAGGTACTTCCATATTGTCAAGACTCCTCCTTCTGTGACATTCCTTGAGTCTTCAACTGCAATCTTCAAATGAACAAACACCTCTCTTTGGTCTGAACTCATTAAATATGCTTTAAGTTGCTTCATGGAAAAAAAAAAAGAACTAAAGGAAATGTGGTTGGCCAAAAGCAATTTTAGCAACATTTTGTTATGGAGGAAATAAAACCTCTGTGCAGATGTGATCTGGGCAGAATGGATGGAGCCAGAGCCAGCAGATCYCAGTCTGAGCCAGGAGATCTCCACCTGTGGCAAACTGGGTTTGTTCCCATCYCAGTGGGAGGGAGCAGAGCAGTGTGGTTTGGTCACAGGTACAATCCCTTCTGGTGGGGATTCATCAATCCCACCAAAGTCTGGGCTGCTCTGTTCCACCTCTCCAGCTACTCTCAGAGCTGCCCAGTGGCCTGGAGGCAGGGCTGTTCATTACCAACTGTCTTTGCTGTGCACTTAAAGACAGTTCTGCTTTAAGAGCCACGAGGTTTCCCAGAGCAGCCTTCTCCCAGGCTGGAGGAGTCCTGCTCTCCGTGTCTGCTGTGTCCCAGGACTCCTGGTTTACAGACAGCAGCTCCAAGCCAGCAGCTCTGGATTCAGGTGTGGTGTGGGATCCATTCCTGCTGTGCACAGCAGCTTTGCTCCGTAGCTCTGCTCCAGCCAGGCCTTTCTGGGCACACCCAACCCATCCAGATCTGTTGTGCTGTTGGGGACCTGGGGTAAGATTTCAGGCATGARAGATGGGGTGAAGTGTTGGATTTGTCCCATCTCTGCAGGAAACTACTTTGGTTTATGGTCAAGYTGAAAAAGGAGATTTAGGTGTTTTCTAAACAAAACCTTACCATTCCACAGTCCCTTGTCTATATGATTATTTATACCTCACTGCATCATGGGAATGCAGAAACMTGGTATGGTCTTGGCTTTGAAAGTCCTATAAACAGAAATGACAAAGCCCTTGCTTTGGTCCTGTCAGGCCCTTACAGGTAAATACAGGTTGGTTAATGCTCTTAAAGAAAACAATTATTTGGGTATTTACATAAATGGGGTAGAACCACACCTTGCAGTGTTACTGGATGCAATGACAGGGCTTCACACTGAGAAATCATGCTTTGTTGYAATATATCCTAACTAATTCTTGTTGTGGAGTTCACAATGCCATAACAGAACTCTTCTGAGAGAAGTAAGCACTGCAGTTTTTGGTTTTTTTCTTTCATTTGTGTGCTAGCCTAACTAATGTCTGTGAGTCTAGAGAATGGGGTTAACCACAGGAAACCAAATTCATGGAGTTGGTCTGCCTCCTCCTGGGCATTCAGGRCTCMTTTTCAAAGCTYTGCTTCAGCTGGCTGCAAGGCAGAATTCCAATACTTGGTTGCTAAAATAATTTCAACAGATTGTGTCTGGCCTCTCCGAAGCAAGAGGCTGATTTTTAAGAGTTCTGCCTCACAAGAAGTACAGTTCCAGTGTGTTTCACTTTGGGTACCCTTCAGCTTTGTAATGGCATGAGCTGTACCCTCCGAGGAGCTGTGCATGGGTTGGGCAGTGCAGGATGGGCTGGGAGATACCAGAGCTGGCTCCCTGCCACCACTTTGATCTCTAAATCCAAGAGCTGCTGTAAATGGCACCAGTTTATCCTGGCTCTTTCAGCTGTTGTGTTATTAGCAATCTTYAGCCACACCTCTAACCAAGCACCAGAGGGGAAGGTGTTGGTGTAACCTGGGTATAAAACAAGTTTATTAATGAGGTTAGTTCTCAGCTGGCCATTCATTAATGATCTTCAAGATCTGTTTCTCCATTACTTCATGCCTGGAATGGGATCCTTGTCACAGAGGTGCCACAAAGATGGGTGAGTTGTAAGGGAAAAAAAGATGTTTCCTATTATGCCACTGAGGTTTTGTCTTGCTTTTCTGCAGGCACCGCCTAGGACCCTTAGACCTCGCTTCAGGAAGAAAAGTACCTCGTCCTCTGCCACTGAAACAATGTGAGTGCAATGAGCCAACAGCACCAAGATCCACAGAATGTCTCTCTTCTGCCTTAAAGAGCTTCTCGTTGRTAACATAGGAAACAGCAGTGGGCTGGATGTGCTTTGATGTACAGCACTGTAGACATGGCCTTTCTCCCTCCTCTCCCCGCATCCTTCTGTGACACGCTGCTGGCGTTTGTCCTTGGCTTGGACTGCCTGGCAGGCACCTGCAGGTGAGGGGTCCTGCTTTGGTTTGCAGAGTGTGCACCCACCCACACTGTACATTTACAGTTTCATTTGTGTCTGCACAGCTCTTGCTCTGTGAATGCCCAGCGGAAACAATAATCAGTTACTCATGATGCTTCATTGACAGTGTATTTATTTATGGCTTTATCATTGATGAAGTGGATTTGCAGAACCCATGGATTTCTCTTTCCTCCCTTCCTCCTCAAGACTGTGAAAGATGTAACAAATGTCAAAKTACTTTGACTGTACAAAATGCCCAAGATTCATTAGCGAGAACTGAGTTGCAACTGCGTTTCTCTTTCTGCAAGTAAATCATGTGTTCTGAGAAAATCATTGTGCTGAACTCACAGAGACAGAACCACTTACAGAGGATGAGGAAGAGATGTGCAAGAGAAAAAAAAAAAGTGGTTTTAATGATGTAATGAAGGGGGAGTCCTAATTTTGATCAGCCTGAGCCAGGAGAGTATTTTATGGAAAATAATGGGTAGAAGAACTAAATCCCAYTTGTGGCCAGTGTTCTACTGTGAGTTTTAAAGTGTGAGCAAGCCAGGCTTGAGCAAGCTGCAGCAACAGAAGTTAGAATTGCTTTAGTGATGCACTTCCAGGGGAAAACACACTTTTCTTCCCTGCTGCAGCAGTGCCAGCCCCAGCACTCTGCTCTCCTGGTGAGGGGCTGCTCTTCTGCTTGCATGAGCAGAGGAGAGTGCTGGGTCTGAGCGGTTTTTTGAAGTCTGGAGTTTCTCCTGTAGCATGGAGTTTGGTTAGAACCACAAGAACCAGATGGAGTGGTGTATTTGCATCCATATATAAATGAGAAATATAAAAAGAAGAGGAAGACATGGTAGGGTTTGTGTATTTGTGCTTCAAGTTGGTGTCTCTTGTAAGTGTTGAGCATGTGAGATTCACACATAAGTTAATTACGTGACCCTTTGTGTTTGCTCTTGGACCTATCACATAGACTAGAAAAGCATTTAGCATTACGTAGGATGTGCCATCACCAATGGATCACCACAGRGTCTCGATGGTGGTCACTGTTCATCTGGGTCAGGTGCAGCAGCCCAGGGTGCCAACAGCCAGCTGGAGTGTGCCAGGCTTGGAGATAACTCAGAAATGTCCTTCAAAACCATTTCTGTGCTGGGAGTGCATCCATATCCCAGCTGCCCATCTGGTGGATCTCTGAGGTCACCCCCACAGCTTCCTACATGTGTGGGGAAGAAATAAATTATGCGCACACAGAAATGTTTATCTGACCTGGATAGGAAATGGAAAAAGCAAGCAGGTATTTCCTGTGTCTGCCACACTATTTGGCCTCATTACCTGAGAATTTTATTTCCTTTACATGTGCTGATTCAGTCATACTTTGCAAATTTTGAAARATTCTTCAGAAAGTAAAGAAAAAACCCAAACAAACCTATCTAAAGAGCAGTTACAGAAGAGTCAGTCCCTASAAGATACTCAGCAAAAGCTTTGAGGAGCTAAGCTTATGCATTTTACTTTTAAGCAGCTTTAGAGTTTGATTTCTTTTGACTAACATTAAAAAGAAATAGGAAAACTGCCTGCACTGGTAGCAGAAAATAAAATCCTGTTGCAAGCAAGCCATGTTTCCCTGCTATGCAATGGGCTGCTGTAAGATAAAAAAGAAGCTGACAAGTTTGCACTCAATTATGCCAAATAACCCCAACAACATAGAGCTGCGTAACATCTGACAAGTTCTAATCTCAGACACGCTGTATTGATTCTCACTAAAACTATTTAATGTGCGTCTAATCTGCTGTTTTACTGTAAACTTGACTGTTTAGCATTTCTTAAGTGCTGAGGTGAAATGTTGACAAGGGAGTTGCCTTATATCTCTCAAAACATTCACTGTATAAATGAGAAGAATAAACCTTTTCATATCTCTGGAAAAAAAAAGTATTAATTTATCAATGGAGCTGTATATTTGTGTATAGATAGACAGATGTGAATGCCTGACCACGTGCACTTGTGCTCCTTGTGCTGCAGTGTTCTGTACAGACGAGAACAGCCACTCGCTTTGATTCCTCACCTTCCTGGCACAGGTTGTTTACAGGGGCTGCCCCAAGTCTGTCGTTTCAGTGTTAAGGCTACATGTGTCCGTTCAGGATAAACACCACCCGTGAAGGCTTTTGTTCCTTTTTCTGGAGCCTCTGCCAAGGAACAAGCCCGGTTCGGCGAGTCG